CAGCAGGAGGGAGGAGTTCATAAAATTTGTTTCAGTGACTGCAACTCTGCTGAAACCCAGGGACTCCTGTTTCTATGGCAGGTAATGGGATATACGTAATAGATGCTGGTTTTTTTCTGATTTAAACTATGACTTCTATTTACAGCATGGAATGTGCAAAGGCCATTTTCTGAAGCCATTTTGAAATGGAAATAATTTGATACAATTGCTCTGAGTTCCTTTGAGGAAAAGCAAGCTACACAGCTGATAATTTTAAAACATTCATTTGCATGATTTACTTCCACGTATTGCCACTTCAGAATATTGGCAATGCATGGAACAGTGTTAGTGTACTTAGTTCAAAATGCTTCCTCTTCCTAATATTTAAAATAATAAAAACAGTAATGTAGTAGTATCATGTTAAAATTTTGATTTAGCAACCATATTGGTATAGCTTATGGTGTGTTCTAATTCTAACAGGAAACACTACTACTGTTGATGTCTGAAAGAGAGCTGCTGTTTCCTTCAGTTGCTTACCATCTTGGCTTGTTTCAACAACTGTTATTATCCCAGCCAAGAAACTCCTGCATGTATTCAGCTTTGCTGCTGGATACGCTTAGTATAGCATCTTTACTAACATTTGTTTAAAAATGTGGAACTACTAGTAGCCATATAAATAGGAATATTTGCATTTTCAGCTCTCTCTTTCTGTGGCACAGAAAAATAACTAGCTATCCTCAAAAACAAAACTGAGGACATGCAAGTCCTCAACATAGAAGAAAGTCAGCAAGCAAACCAGAGGAGGAACTGATGTAATTATGTTCCTACTGCTTTTTTCCCCTCTCCGAGTTCATTGAGCAGTTCACCGTTAGTGTGTACAGATGGGCATTCTAGAATGCTGTACAAACATTGTGGTACCAAAAGGTACTTGTTCCGTTGACCAATCATGCATGGAATTTTTTAAATAGTTCTTAAATGATCAGTGCACAAATGATCCATTCTGTGAGACTTGTTGCCTTGTGGAGGTAAGATATTGCTTATGTCTTATTGTATCATTTTGAAATATACAGAGATTAATTGCAGTCCTTGCAAAGCTATAATTAGTACAAAAGCAACATAACTTTTACTAGCAGCTGACCCTTAATTGCCCTAGGATACTCACAGAACATTGGCAAACATATCTGATGAAGTTTCAAGTGAGGAGGGACCAGAAGCTGGCTATCACTTGCGTCGTAGTGCAGAACGTGCTTCCAACGATTGTGCTTTTCGAAACAGGAAGTCCCATCACTATAAGAAACATTACCCTGCAGAGGTAAGCTCTTGCACTGGTTCCAAACCAGGTTTTCTGGAAGCAGTAAAGTGTATGGTGCTGCTGTCATCCCTGTATGGCTGCCTGCTTACTGAGTTTGTGTATGGAGGTAAAGCCGATAGCTACCAAGAATAGAACCTTTTCAGCGGTGGTACTGAGAATAGCCTCCCTAGGAACATTCACTTGGCACATACTCCTTTTTCATTTTGACATCATCTTTTTATAGGTCTATTTAGAATTTTTATCTGAAAGAGATTTTAGTGATTCCTTGGCGGTGGTTCTACTGTTGTATATCTATTATTTCCCTGCTGTTTTGTTTGGCATTTGCTAACTTTAATGTGTTTTTATATTTTTGTCTTGTATACTAAATGCTTATTCTCTGTCTTGCCTGCTGTCAGGTGGAGAGGCAGGATATAAATGTTTGAAGTTAATAAATTAGGGGTGTTCTTTCCCGAGCACCTAGTTCTTTCCTTTGAAGTATATCTCATGTCCTGGGATTTGCTCATGCTTGTTATCCTTCAGTTGATCTGTCTGATACAGTTAGGGGCGAAGGCGGTCATGATCTCTTTTCTCAGAAAAGTGGGATCAATTCCTACTTCCAGACCTGTCTTTTCTTGTAGTGTGGAAGCAGTTTCCAGATGAGCTCTAGTGTGTTTATACTTGCCATTATCCAGGCCTTTCTTCTTTTTTCTTTTTATTTCCCGTCCACTCTCTCTTCCCTTCCCTTCTTTGCAATGAGCCTTAGCTAGGAACTTCTCAGGTTGTAAGTAGAATTGTGACCATTTGTTGCCATACCTGACTCCTTCCTTAAACGGTGGTGGTGGGGGGTGGCCTCAGGTTAAGCCCTGTCATCTTGACATTTTCTGAGGGTAGCACCCCTTCCTTCGCCTCCCAAGAGCTAGAGGCTTCCTAGTCATCCAGGGAAAAGGCCAGTTCAGGGGATCCACTCTGTTGTCTTATTGCTAAGGGACAAAATCTTTGGGAGTTAGCAGTATCCTCAACTGGGGGCAGAATTTTATTTTTTGCCGTCATGTTACTGCTGACTTATGGTGACCCCTGTGCGGTTTTCAAGGTGAGAGATGTTCAGAGGTGGTTTGCCAGTGGCTATTCAAATAGGCAAGAGGTGATATAGTTACAAATGGTGACCTGTCAGCAGGGAGAGGAGTGGGATACAAATCTAATAAATAAACTAAATTGACTGACTCTGCATCGCAACCTTGGTATTCCTTGGTGATCTCCCATCCAAAACTGTCTAGGACCAGCCTTGCTTAGCTTCTGTGATCTGACAAGATTGTGCTAGCCTGAGCTATCCAGGTCAAGGTGGGCACAGCATATCTATATCTCTGTTTCTCAGGTGGGGCCCCCATCCGGATATCTAAATCTGTGGGTTGGGGGCATATGTTGCCAAAACAGATATTTCTACAAATGTGGTAGGACCCCCTGGGTTTGCAGAAAAATCTGAAACCTTTAAAAAAGTACACTTTGGGGGAGGGTTGAAATTCCCCCCAAAATACCTCCTCCAGGCATCCATGGCAATAGCAGTGATGGGAGGAGGTGCCTGGGACCAGCAGTTGCCCCAACGACGACTGCTGCTGTGGTGAAGCTGTGGCAGATCTGGTAGTTGAGGCTGGGAGGTACACTGGACCTGGTGAGGGTTGTGACAGTGGGGGGGGGGCACTGTGGCATCAGCAGCAGAGATGGCGAGAGAGGCTGCAGTGGGCCTGGTGGCAAAGCCAGTAGCCACACTGTGTCCGCCAGCATTTTTAGTAATGGTGTGTGGGAGGGTGAATGGCAGCGGCAATGGCAGTGGAGGCAGAAGCTATGGGGGCCTGGCAGCAAAGCCAGGAGCCACACTGTGCCCCCACCGGTGTTGTTGGCAATGATGGCAGGAGTCACGGTAGCCCTGGGGACAAGAGAAGCAATGGGGAGGAGAAGAAGCAGCTGTAGTGCACCTGGCAGCAAGGCTGGGAGGTATGCCAGGCCAGTCGCCGGTGTCAGCAGTGTGTGTGTGTGTGGGGGGGGGGTGTTAGGAGCTGCTGCAGCTCCAGGGATGGCAGTAGTGATGGGGGGGGGATAAGAAGTTGTGCTGGCCTAGCAATGGAGGCTGGCAGTAGTGTCAGGCCGGTAGGCGGCAATAGGGTGTGTGACCAGCAGCCATGTCGTCCCTGGCAAGGGTGGTAAGTTAAGACGGGGAGAGGGATCCCTCCCACACAAGTATCACAGGTCACCAGTTGTAACTATATCATCCGTTGCCTATTTGAATAGCCATTACCTTCATCCTGTTCTGGGTTCACTTCTTTTTTAAGATTGCACTGTAAAACATGATAATCATCAGCATTTAGTAATATATAACATGTCTTCCAGGATATCCCTAAATCAGGCACTAGTTGCAGTTCACGGTGTTCGAGTTCCAGACAAGATTCAGAGAGCACAAGGCCGGAGTCTGAGACAGAAGACGTATTGTGGGAAGACTTATTACATTGTGCAGAGTGTCGTTCATCTTGTACCAGTGAAACAGATGTTGAGAACTCTCAAGTTAATTCATGTATGAAGAAAGAGTATAGGGATGATCCATTTCATCAGGTTGGTGTAATGAAAACAAATGTCACTCACAACTTGCCAAATCTGCCAGAACTGTGTCCGAAAATTGGATTAAATACAGTTTTAATGTAATTCTTGTGATGAAATATATGTGCTGATTTAGTGTTTGTCATGTATATAGACTCACTATATTACTGAATACCTTTCATTTTTTGGACAGAGTCATTTGCCCTGGTTCCACAGTTCTAACCCTGGGCTGGAAAAAGTCAGTGCAATTGTTTGGGAAGGTAATGACTGCAAAAAAGCTGATATGTCGGTACTTGAAATCAGTGGCATGATAATGAACAGGGTGAGTGTATTTTTAAAACAATCTTTATCCCACAGTAGAGATGTTGTTTTTCTGCATGGTTTGCATACTAAAGCTTGCAGTCCTAAACATACATATCTAAGAGCATGCCCCACTGAATAAAATGGGACTTACTTCTGAATAGACCTGTTTAGGATTGCATTCCTAAGTATATGGCTATACCTTGTTCGAATTCTTTAGGTTTTGTCTTGTTCCTTATGCAGTCATAAAACTGGATAAATGCAGAAAGCACTGTCCAGCACTGCCTCACTTAAATCGAAACAGATAACTATTACTAATCAGTATAAAAATGTAAAGCATCACTTTGATCTGTATCAGTCAGAAGTAGTAGTTTTGAGCAAATTAATTTGTTTTGTCAGTGAAACTAGATGCTGCCATCAATTAATACAGTCCTGTTTACCAAGCAGAGTTGACATTCACAAAGCTAGCTTTAGACTCAGCATAGACGTTAGAACATAAGAACATAAGAGAAGCCAATGTTGGATCAGGCCAATGGCCCATCTAGTCCAGCACTCTGTCACACAGTGGCCAAAAATACCAGGTGCCATCAGGAGGTCCAGCAGTGGAGGTTAGGAGTGTGCATTCAGATCTACTGCAGCCAAAAATATACACGAAAAATACCTTATCAGTATTTTTTCAGATATATTTTGGTTTCCCAAATGTATCCAGTTTTTTTTCCAGAAAAACCGGCGCGGGGGGGTGGAATCCTGAGAGAATCCCGGATATATCCAGGAATTATTGGTAGATCTGAAAACAGCAGAGAGGCAGGAGCAGATTGCTGTTTGTTGAACTTTTACTGCAGTCCCGCAGGACACAGTCTGCTAGCTGTGGCACAGCAGATCCCGGGGCCAGCTTCTCCTACAGCGTTGTTTAAACCGCATGTGTGTGGCGGGGAGAGACCTCCCTGTGGCACACAGATGCCGGGGCCAGCTTCTGGGCTGGCTTCTTCTTTTTTAACCAGTATTTTTCTTCTCGGGTCTATTGGACCTGGAAAAAATGGGGTTTCCAAAAAATCCCAGATCTGAATACCATACCAGTATTGGGATCAGCGTTTATTTCAGCAGTTCGAGACCCGAGTGTGCCGCATGATGGAGTGAGCTCCCGTCTCTAGTTCCAGCTCCTGCCCACCTAGCAGTTCGAAAGCAAGAAATTGCAAGTAGATAAATAGGTACCACTTTGGTGGGAAGGTAACAGCGTTCCGTGCACCTTGGTGTTTAGTCATGCCGGCCACATGACCACGGAAACGTCTTCGGACGGCGCTGGCTCTTCGGCTTTGAAACGGAGATGAGCACCGCAACCCTAGAGTCGGATTCGACTGGCTTTCGAGCAAGGGAACCTTTACCTTTACCCAATAGACATACTTCCTCTCCTCCACAGCCTCTAACTCCATCCTTTACTATAGATATGCTGGCTCAAATTCAAAGCAAAATGTCCTATGGATCAGTACTCCCAAGTGCTTCCTAAGAACCAGTTAACACCAGTTCAGAGCACTGGTCCATATGGCAGTAATCGGGATGTTTGAATATGTGGTAAGATTCTACCACAGGATGGAAGGTATCCACAGATGCAGCCAAGAACACATGTAGGATCTAAATTGGAAAGAAGATTTATTGAGGAGAGAACCTTATAAAGAAAGTAGAGAAGTGAACCAAACAGAACAAGAGAATAATACTGAGCACCAAGAAGGTGAGCCAGGAGCCCTGCTTACACATATGTCTAGGGAGGAGAGAGCTTGAGGGGGAAGGTTAAAAGGAAAGAGAACTGGAGAATCTGATCTAGTTGTCCAGCAGAGAATATACCCGTGATTACAACTGGGCAGCTACTAAATACCCAGGGAAGGAAAGGGAGAGCAGTATAGTGTGTGTCAGAGTCCTGAGCAGGTCTTGAGACATGGGAGGCATCCAAGAGTACACAAGCACACCTTTGAGGGGAGGATTCTTTCCACACTAATAAAGCAGACAGGTAGGGTTCTGAAAGAGAAGATGGAATTTTGGGGCCCAGAAGTGAATCCATGCTATATAAGACTGGGTTGTGGAGAATAAATCCAAACTGTACCAAACCTGGAAGTGACTGGGCCATAGTAAGGTTTTTCCTTTTGATTTATAGATTGATTTAAAAGGATATGCAAAAAACTGGCAGAACCTTGGGTCCAGACATAAATCTAACAAGAGAGCACTATATTGCTCTTAGTAGTATCTTATATGAATATGAAGAATATGCTAATAATGACAGGGAATAATCTTTTGTGGCAAAAGGCACACTGTTTTAACTGATGGAGTTGCTAAATTCTAATCTGATTACTAAATTCTGATCTGATTACTTCTGGTCTTCTGGGTGAGATGTTGCCTCATACTTCCTCAGGCTTTTCAAGCAATGACCTGTTCTCCTTCAGCTAAAGTGATCTGATTAGGATGTGGCTCAGTGTCCCTTGATCTTCTAACTTTGTGCTTTTATAGGCTAGCAATTTCTTGCACCTTGACCCAGGTTCGCATTGGGATCAGGAGGACAAATCTCAGCTCCAAAAACTGGGGTTTAAGGTGTTCTTTTTATTTTAACCAACAAATTTAATACTTAATTGGAACCACTTTTTAAAAACTTCCAGAAAGTTATCCCATTTGAGCTTCAAGATTTTTTGAGCATGAAATAGATACTGGGATGAATCTTACCAGCTTTTCTGCTGGGACAAGAAAGGAGTGATCTCACCAGATTCCTCTCCTCACTGTAGCCCTTGTCCCGCATGGCTTCCCCCCCCCCCCAAACATAAGTCTCACAGTCCACAGCATAACCTTGGTGGGGTGGGGGAACAAGGCCCTTCCACCTGCACCCGTAGAAGAGCTGAAAGAATCTGCCACAATCTACATTAGAAATGGCTGTGAGTAAAAATATGGCAAAAAAGACAAAAGGCACTTGCACCAACAATTTCATATAAAGCATCATATATAAACCAGAAATGGTCCCCCCCCCCGGACGAGACACCAAGGAATTTGAAAGATGGACAAAAGCAGGCATAACAAGAATAATCCATTTTTTAGAAAAAGATAAAATTATAGAAAAGAGCAAATTAGAACAAAAAATACAACACAAAGTACATTGGTATAAATATCTTCAAATAAAACATTTATTAGAAACACCCCAATTGAAGCAGACAAGGAAAAGACCCGTGACACCTTTTGAATTATTGCTCAATGAAGCAAAAGAACAAAACCCAGGTTTAATTACTATTTTATACCAAATACTAAATAAGGCAGATGAAGAAGAGAAAACATTATATCAGAAACAATGGTCTAGAGATTTAAATCTTGAATTAACAGAAGAAGACTGGGGAAAAATATGGAATGCCCCTAGCCAAATATCAAAAATCTTTACAGTTAAATGGCAAGCATTCAAAATACTGATTAGATGGCAAGTCACACCTATACTATGACATAGAATAAATTCTGAACACTCTCCTAGATGTCTAAAACAATGCGGTCAATTAGCAGACTACCTACACTGTTGGTGGTCATGTAAAACGATACAAAATTTTTGGGAAGAAGTACTTAAGGTGATTAAAGAAATGCTATCTATACAAATACCTCAAAAAACGGAAGTGATATTTTTGGGAAAATGGGATACAAACCAAATGACATCAAGACAGAGGGAAACTGCTTCTCTACTGTTAACAATAGCAAAATCAATGATAGCAATAGAATGGATAGGAGACAAACCTCCCACAGTGCAACAATGGCTCATAAAGATATAGGATTATTTTATTTTGAGTAAATTATCATTTAATTTGTATAAAAACTCTGCTACACAATATGAGAAAAAAGTGGAATCAGTTTGGTTTCCAATCATAAGTTATTTAATGGGAAAAGATATTCTTCCAAGGAACACTCTGTATCATAATATGATCTACTTTTAAACAAAGTTTATTGTGAACTGTTTGATGTATATGTTGGTTATGTTGTAAAATAAAATTATAAATAAAAAAGAAAGAAATGGCTGTGAGGTGGTATAGTTTACCTTTCAAAAGTATTAAAAACAATTGTTCAAATGGAGAAATGATAATAAAGAGTTGTTGTTAGTGTACATTATATTAAATTGTGTGTGTTTAAAATTTCTTATCTTTAGGTGAACAGCTATATACCAGGAATAGGCTATCAGATTTTTGGAAACGTCGTCTCTTTAATCCTGGGGTTGACTCCATTTGTATTTCGACTTTCCCAAGCTAAGGATCTGGAGCATCTAGCTACACATTCAGCTACCGAACTTATTACTATAGCATTTGGGTCAAATGACGACAGAATGGTTCTTTTCATGGTTATAATATGCTTTATAGTCCGTGTCTCCCTTGTGTGGATTTTCTTTTTTCTCCTGTGCGTGGCTGAGAGAACCTACAAGCAGGTAGGTGTAGTTCCAAGCTTCTCATGTTCTTTTACATGCTTCTGATTGGAATACAGATGTGTGTGTGTGTGTGTGTGTGTGTGTGTGTGTGTGTTAAGTGCTGTCAAGTTGCTTCTGACTTCTTGGGACCCTATGAATTAATGCCCTCCAAAATGTCCTATTGTTAACAGCTATTCTCAGTTCTTGCAAAATGAGGGTTGTGGCTTCCTTGATGAAATCAATCCACCTCGTGTTGGGTCTTCCTCTTTTTCTGCTGCCTTTGATTTTTCCTTGCATTATTGTCTTTTCCAGTGGCGCTTGTCTTCTCATGATGTGACCAAAGTGCGACAGCCTCAGTTTAATCATTTTAGCTTCTAGGGAGAGTTCAGGCTTGATTTGGTCTAGAACCCACCTATTTGTCATTTTGGCAGTCCACGGTATCCGTAAAACTCTCCTCCAACACCACATTTCAAAGGAATTTACTCTCTTCCTGTCATCTTTCTTCATTGTCCAACTTTCACACCCATACATGGTAATGGGGAATACTATGGCATGAATTAACTTGATCTTGGTCACCATTAAGTAATTTTGTGACTTAAGGATCTTTTCTTGCTCCTTCATGGCTCCCTTCCCAGTTGCAATCTCCTTCTGATTTCTTGGTTGCAGTCTCCCTTTTGGTTGATGATGGAGCCAAGGAATAGAAAATCTTGAACAACTTCAGTTTCTTCATTGTCAGGCTTAAAGTTATGTAATTCCCCAGTAGTCATTACTTTTGTCTTCTTGATGTTCAGCTGTAATTCTGCTTTGGCAATTTCTGCTCTTACCTTCATCAATAGTCATTTCAAGTCTTCACTGTTTTCTGCCACTAATGTGGTGTCATCTGCATATCTCAAATTGTTAATGTTCCTTCCACCAGTTTTCACTCCACCTTCATCTAAATCTAATCCAGTTTTCCTTATGATATTTTTTGCATACAGATTTAAGAGATAGGTAGATAAAATGCATCCTTATCTGACACCTTTGCCAATTGGAAACCATTCTGTTCTCCATATCCTGTCTTAACAGTGGCCTCTTGTCCAGAGTATGGGTTTCTGTGGCACACCCATTTTCTTTAAAGCCAACCATAGCTTTCTATGATCCACACAGTTAAAACCTTTGCTCTGATTTATAAAACACAAACTGATTTTCTTCTGAAATTCTCTTGTATGCTCCAATGTCCAATGCAAATTTGCCTCTTCCTTTTCTGAATTCAGCTTGAACATCTGGCATTTCACATTCCATATATGGTAACAGTCTTTGCTGTAAGATTTTAAGTGTCACTTTACTTGCATGCAAAATTAATGCAATGGTCCGATAGTTGCTGCACTCTTTGACATCTCCTTTTTTGGAACTGGGATCTAAATGGAGCATTTCCAGTCTGTGGGCTTTTGTTTTGTTTTCCTTATCTGTTGGCACAATCTTGTTAAGATTTTAATGGACTCCATTTCTGTAGCTTGGAATAACACTATTGATACCCCATCTATTACTGGTGATTTGTTTCTCCCAATTGCTCCCAGTGTAGCTCTTACTTCACTTTCTGAAACTGTAGGATCTTCTTCAAAAGATTCTTCTTGGAAGGAATATGTCATCCCTTCAACTCTTTTGTATAGTTCGTCAGTTAATGGATTCATGAGGTAATGGAAAAAATAACAAGAACTAATATCCCGTTTACTCCAGAGATACTGTTATTGAATATATTTCCGAAAGACTTTGATAAAGCAGATAGGTATTTGATAGTTCATATATCAACAGCTGCAAGGATAGTATATGCCAAATATTGGAAAATAATGGAAATACCAACAAAACAAGAGTACGTGAATAAACTATTTGAAACAGTGGAAAATGACAAACTGACACTTGAGACAAGAGCCGGCACAGAATGTAATTTTCAAAAAACTTGGAAGAGATTCTATGGCCCCGGTCACACGGGCAGGAAACTGCAGAGGAGAAGCGTGGCTGTTTGCCCTGGGGCAAACTACTGCGCAGTTACATGATCAGACCTCCTGTGGAGGTCCTGTGGAGGTACCGTGGAGGTTCCATGGCAAGGGAGAGGTGCCGATCACAGGACAAGCCGGCGCACAACGAAGAAGCGCGCGCCACGGCAAACTGTTTTTTATTTTTGTGTACATGACAAATGTGCATGCTCCGTTGGGTGCGCATGCGCATGCGCATCCACAGAGACTTGGACAAAAAACACACACCTTATTTGCAAGGGGACATGGGCGGGCGCCGGATGCCACTGGAAACGTGATCAGACGCCCGCCCTTGCCCCACAGTTTCCGGAAACTAGTACCTCCAAGGTACTAGTTTTTTGCCACGCAGTTTCGGCTGGAAGCCTCGGTTGAGCCACGGGAGTGCTACGTTTCCCAGATGTGCTGGTGAGATCGCGCCCGGAAACTCCGGCTGTTTTCCGTCTCACTTGTGTGGCTTCTGTTACGTGTGACCGCAGCCTATGATTGGTATAATGTAAATGCAACTGATAGATAAATGTAGTAATTTGAGAACACAGAAAATATAAGCTTAGTAAAATAGATAATGAATTTAGAAATTTAATAAGCAGAAGAAGTGATAAAAGTCTCTTTTCTTTTCTTTTTGTACAGGAATAGTCTTTGCACATTCTTCTTTGATAATATCTCTGGTTTCAACCCATAGTTGTTCTGGTTCACAGTCACTTGAACTTAGTAATGCAAATGTGTTCTTTACATGGTTTTAAACTCTTCAGGGATGTTGCTTAGATGTATTTTGACACTATGTTTTGGTGCTTTTCTTCAGTGTTATTCTAATTTTTGATATTAACAATTCATGATCTGTACTTTTGCGTCCTAGTCACCTGTGATTATCACCACATCTTGTCTCAGTGTGTGATCAATTTCTTCCAGGACACTTGCATAAAAACTTTCAATTTTTTGTTCATCAGCATCTGTAGTTGTGGCATAAACTTGAATGATGGTTATATTGATAGGCTTTCAGTGAAGTCTGATATTATGCAATCAGACTTCGCATTATAGCCCCTGACTGACTGCACTTCATCTTGCCTCACTATGAGCAACTCAGTTTAGTAAAACGCTTTGCTATTTTCTGACTGAAAATGTCCTAACGCAGTCCACTTTAGTTCGTTCACTGCCAAGATTGCGCTGTTTAAGCATTCCGTTTCTTATTTTACTATTTTGAGCTTATCTTGATTCCTAGTTCTCATGTTCCAATTATATGTGGCAAACAACCGTGGACTTCCATTTTGCATCCATTCACATCAACAACTGAACATTCTTTTGGCTTTAGCCAAGTTGCATTATTAAGAATAGCAGTAGTTGTCCTAGCTCTTCCCCAGTAGCTGATTGAGTGCCATCTGACCTGATCTTCCAGCACTGTTTCTTTTTTCATTTGGGATTGCCTCATCATAGCGTTTTTGGGGTAAGAATTGGTCAGAAGTGTTTTATCATTGCCTTCTTCAATGCAGTACTAACGAAGTTAGCTGTAGCATCACTGCCATTGTCTATGAAAGATCCTCCGCCAGTGCCACCTTCCACTACTGCTGCTGCCCCAATAGCTACCCTTTGAGGATTCCTCTGCCCCCATCATCATTGGAACTGTCTGTTCTGTTCTGCTGATGTGGTCGTTGATCCCCGAAGGGGTTGGATGCATCTTAGTCTGGTGTCTCAGCTGTGACCATCCTGCCTTGAGTGACTGCTAGGAGTTTAGATCCCTTACAGTATTACTCTCAGTTTTGCTGATACACACAACCCCCCCACCACAACCATGTTAAGATTTACATCCAAGAGGGAATACAGATACCTTACTATATTTTCAGTGTTTTTAAAGTATGGGATATAATGGTTGTGCCATCTTGTATTTGGTATGATTTATTGCATATACCGGTATATGTTGTACTTTGATTGAGCTCGTAGTGATTTCCGCCTATTAAAATAATTGAAGGCAGTCAGCATGTCTAAATAAGATTCTTTCCTGCATTATGTAATGCCTTAAAACATTTTTTTGCAGAGATTGCTTTTTGCCAAACTCTTTGGCCATTTAACATCTGCAAGAAGGGCACGAAAATCAGAAGTTCCTCACTTCCGGTTAAAGAAGGTGCAAAATATTAAAATGTGGCTTTCTCTCCGCTCATACTTAAAGGTTTGTACCTTTTCCTTCAACCATTAACATAGTTAGCCTATTTAATTGGTAAGCTGATAAATATACTTTGTTATATAGTATACTGGTTACATTGTTATATTCAATATTGTCTTGAATCTGGATTTTCCTTGTTTGTAGTTTTATATTTGTTTTTAAATGTTTACTTTCTCCGTGTGTGGGAGAATATCGTTAGTTAAAAGGATGGACCTTCCAAAATACTGGTTTGGTGGCTTACAGGGGAGAAACTTTCCCTATGGGCTATGCCAGTTATTTGAGCATTCTGGATATCAATTGACAGATAACACAACTTTTACTGTATTACTTCACTCAGTGAGAAATTAACTTATGGAATTCACTGCCACAAGATGTAGTAGTGATGACAACTAGGTTACATGGATTTAGGTCAAGACGTGTGTATGTCTTATCTATCAATATATATAGTGGTCTGATTATTGTTTTAGTGAGCTCCCCTGGTTATATAAATGCTGATGTTTATTTTTATTTTGTTTCTTTTAATATTGCTTGGACTTTAATTCTGCGTAAGCTGTTTTGTAGACCCAGTTGGTTTACAAGTGGGATAAAACATTTTGAAAAGAATTCTGTTTTAAATTTAGTACTATTCTTTATTTTAGTACAATTTATTTTTTTATAATCTTCAGATTAGCAAAGAGAAGCCTAATCAAGAGTCAGGGTAGGCTCTGGAATGCCTTTTCAACATCTCCATGCTTTTATAGATCAGCCAAAGATCAAGTTATGACCTCATCTGTAGTAAAACAGAAAAAGGACAGCTGCTGTCTGGCAGGAGACAGAACATGTAGAGCTGAAAGGCTATCACTGAATCTTTGAGTGCCAACCAAAAACATACAGCAAGTGCAATTTATGGAGTCTGAGAAATTCTAGTCTCATTGTCTGATTTTGAGTTAAAGCCAGTTTTTTGGTACATTTCATTATTTAAGCAGCTAATGAAAAAATAAACAGAACAAATTATTTCAGAAGAAACAATAATATTTTACAGGATATTTTTCAGTCTGTAATTAATTTAGCTACATTATACCTACAAATCACCCTTCGTGATTAATCCAAGGCTTCTTCCAGCTCCAATAGTTGTAAGAAAATTGTTGGCCTGTGGCTGTACCAGTAAAAAAAAGGAAGCAGTGTCCCAATAGAGCAGTTGCTAATTATTAGGAAGACTTCCAAGAGATATTTCTACAAAGCATTAGTGTCATACCAGCCTTCTACCATTCTAGGGAAAACCTTTGTGTTAAGTGTTATTGACACCTGTTAGTATGATGTAAGTGGCCACAAGTCTTTAGGTGCTGCAGGACGGCTCATGTTTGAATCTGGTGACTTTGTCTTGGTTCTCTGCATATAACAAGTAAAACGACTACCAGGCCCATATTTTGTTCTGACTGCCCCTTTCATTCTTGTGGAAAATAGCAGTACTTTGTTTTTGTGGGAAAAAGACAGCAGTGAATAGTTTAGCAGCTTTTTGTTCTCTCAAAGGATAAAAATATCTAAAAATACAATTTGAGAGCCTGGCATTTGAATTTTAAACTGGTGGATCCTGTCACTCCAAACTGCCATGCTAACCTTTCTCTGGCATGTGTTTGTGTGTTCTCCCTCAATAAGAATTGCAGAATATTTACTGGCCTTATTTATGATGGAATATTTGGGTAATCCAGCCAAGGACTGTCATTCTCTGATTCAAAAACTATTGTGATTTTTGGGGTGAAGGTCTCAGTATCTTTCTAAGCAACTGAAACCATGTCAGGTGTGTCCCTTGTATTCCTAAAATAAGACATTTCCTTGTTAGACCAGCTGCCTTGTTTCATAGTGTTTTCTTACATGTTCTTATTGTATATTTTCCCCAGTCTCCAAACGGATAATTATATTCTCTACAGCAGCTCCTTTTACAGTAAATGGATCTCCTCCCTCCACAATTCTGTTTGTTTGTTGTGGGAGATAATGTAGTTCTGTAAGCTATAGAACTTTGAGAGAGGTTTTCAGGAGAAGGAAGCACAGTTACAGTTTGAGATGTAGTGATGCAGACAGTGTGCAGAGAGAGAGATGGAAATGTCCTATAAATATTTTCTTGAGCAGGGGTGGAAAATGGTCAGTAAAATCAGTAAAAGTCCGTTTTTTCATCTTGGTCAGTAATTTGTCAGTTTTTAAAAAAAAATAGGTCAGTAAAGTCAGTATTTCTTTGATTTTTGTGAATGCAGTTTGTGTTTTTTTGTTTTCATTACTGCAGTTTGGGGAAAACATGATGACTTCCCAGTGAGAAGGCAGATTGTTTTTAGTTCAGTTATGAAGTACTTTAAGGACTTTGTTCCTAAGAGTAAAAGTGATTTGGTGAAATCTTCCACAACGTATAGAAACATAATTCACCTCTCAATACACGAGACAATGAAGCAGATGTGATTTTTTTTTTGCATGAGTGCCCGCTTATTTACAAAGTTCACTGGAGTGTTCCAGAAAGAATAGCCTTTGGTGCATGTGATGCACAGTGAAGTAAAAACACAAGAATTTGTAAGAGTTCAGCACCGTTGTCTCTTGAAGCCTTCAGTGGTGAGCACTACATACCTGTGAGAGAAGTAATCAGTGAAAGTAGAATCTGTGACGAGCTGGAAAAACTTTTTGAAAAGGAACAGCTACTCTTTTTAACAGGAGCAAATAAACATTTCATAGCAGCCTGCAAACACCTTTTAAGACTTGAAGATGAAACTGCCAGTGAAACTTGCCGCATAGATACACACTGGAATCAGTTCCTTGAAAAGGCACACCCATCTAGAGATCCAAAATACCCACTAGTTACCAAGGTTATCATTATTGCATGGTAGTGGGGACATAGAAAGAGGGTTTTCAAAAACTGGACGCATTTTGACCGAAAGGGCCTGGATGTCTGAGAGAACTTTGAATGCCCACCTAATCATCAAAGAAACTTTATATAATGTATATGAAAACAATGTATACCATGTTAATATCACACAGGAGCGTTTATAGATGGCAAGAGCACTTCATGTTCATTACAAGCAATATTGTGATGAACAGTGTGTCATTAAAGAGGGGTAAAACAAAAAAGAAAAGAAAGAGGGGGGAAAGGCAGAGGAGTTAGGTTTAAGAAGATAGACAGTGAAAAGGAAGAGAAGGGGAGCAAAGAGAAGGAAGAGAAGGAAGCAAATCTGAAAAGGCTGAGACAGCAGAACGAGAAGAGGATGACTGCTCAAACGTTGCTAAATGATGCAACAAAACATGACAAGGAGGCTGCTGAGAAAAAGGGTATGGTGGGATTCAACACAGCACAGCTCATGCTAGAAGGAGTGGAGAAAGCAATGGAAGAAGACAAGAAGAAAAAAATGCTTGCGGATGCAGTGCAGAAAACTGTTGAGAAACAAAAGAGTTCGTTAATAACTTCTTTTTTCATCAAAAAAACAAACATAAAGTAAAAGCAAAGACAAATCTTACCTTACAGTGATTATGTTTTGTTGTCATAATGATTAGTTTTTGTGTGGTTTCTAATATGTTTTGCTGTTTTATTATCTACAGTATGTGATTATTTTTAAAAGCAAATCTTTTTTGCCTTAAATTTTGTACAGTAATGAAAACATTACCTTGTCTTCATTTTAAAACATTCAATAAAAAGTTGTGCAATCCTTTTCTCTGGATCACATCTGACTTTGGTGCTGGCGGAGGCCAGATAATAATCATTTTTAATGAAGTCCTAGTTTTACTTTTAAAACACTAGCTTATCAATAGGCTGACATTATATTGTTCAGTAATTTGTCAGTTTTTTGTCTGTATTTGGTCAGGTTTTTTGGAATTTTGGTCAGTAAAATCAGTATTTTGACTCTCTGACTAGTTTCCACCCCTGCTTGAGCCGCCCTTTCTCCCTCCTTGCTGATGCTAAATGTTCATACAAATTAAACCCAGTTCCTTTAAATTTTCAGTTGTAAATTTTAATACCTTGTTTTAAAAAGTTATCCATTTTTGCATGATATGCATCTGGACGTATTTCATTTGTTCCATATAGATAGATTCAGGTGGGTATCCGTGTTGGTCTGAAGTAGCAGAAGTGGCACCTTTAAGTTCAACAAAGTATAAGTTTTTGTGTCCAAGCTTCTTTCATAGTTTAATGATTGTTTCCCTTTGTTTTGTTTTCAGCGGCGAGGTCCTCAACGATCAGTTGATGTAATAGTCTCATCTGCTTTTTTGTTGACAATTTCTGTTGTATTTATCTGCTGTGCACAGGTAAGGAAAATTTGACATGTTACTGATCTACATCACGATTGAAAATCTTTAAAACTTATGAACATATATACAATCATATGAAGCTTCCTTATACCGAATCAGAACATCAGTCCATCAAGGACAGTATTGTCTACCAAGTGTGTGCAAAAAAAATGGTAATTTTTGGGTTTGGGTATATTGAACCCAAAAACTAATGCTATTTCCTGATATTTGGTATTTCCTGATATTCCTAAATCGGTATTTCCAGATATTCCTGATATTCAGGGTTCCTGAAATTTTTTGGGAACTCATCACTTGGAGAAGGTGTTCCAACACCTTCTTACTGCTTGGGACTCCATTTCAGAACTCACTGCTCGGGACTCCATTCACACATTTAAATGCCTTTTGCAAGTAATGCCACATAAATGGAGTCCCAAGCAGAGTTTACTCACACGGCGCAGCTTGAAAAAGACCAAACGCACACCCCTGTTGTCTACTCAGACTGATAGTGGCTCTCCAGGGTCTCAGGCTGAAGTCTTTCACATCACGTCCTACCTGGTCCTTTCAACTGGAGCTGCCAGGAATTGAATCTGGGACCTTCTGCATGCAAAGCAGATGCTCGTCCACTGAGCCATAGCCCTTTCTCCTAAACGTACTTTGAAACAAGTTAGGCTGCAAGCTTTGCCACTGGAAACTGTACATGCAGCTCCCTCCACATGGCCAACACAATTTTCATTTTGTACACAATCATGAAATGGGAGCAGGTATGGAGGAGTAGGAGGAACTGATACAGCTGTTCACATGATCAGCTGCAGGCTCCTAAATTGCCTGCTCTTTTTTGCTCAGTTTTATGTTTTACGAGAACTGTGGAAGGTGGTGCCCAAAGGAGAGGCACATGACAAGCCAGAGGGGGCCTGATATCCAGAAGTGGACACTCCCTTTCACAGCCAACCAGCTATGTGGCTTCCAGCTCCATAGAGGAATCACTGCTTGTTTGGCTAGGAATGTTTTGTTTGGGCATCCTGCCGTTGTATATGTAGAATAAGGAGCCAGTGAGAAATAAAGTTATATTTAATTCCTCCCACTCATGTTTGTTTTGCTCTTAGTGAGCCATTCACCAGAAGGAAGGCCTGAATGAGCCACACAAAAGCTCAAGGGCCCATGAACAAGGTTGTATTCTTACAGAGCTTTGTGCATTTCTGTGGAACATCTGCAGGAGAACTTCGTTGTGAATTGTCCCCTGTACCTTATTAATACAGATTAACTTAAGCCTTATGAAATTTAGGCATTAGAAATGCTAACCTATATTTTTAATGTCATCCCATTCAATTTGCTGTTTCCTTTTTTTCTGTCAGCTGCTTCATGTGCATGAGATCTTCTTAGACTGTCACTACAACTGGGAACTAGTAATCTGGTGTATTTCATTAACTCTGTTTCTTCTACGATTTGTTACACTTGGATCTGAAACAAGCAAAAAATACAGCAATACCTCAATATTACTTACTGAACAGGTGAGAACTCTTCTGCTAGGAGAGATGACCCCATTCCAAAATGAGGAAGATCCACCTTGCTAATTTAGAAATTGAATACAAGAAATTCTGAACTGTCATCGATCACATGCAGAGAGATTAGTTCAGTTCTGTACAAGCCACAGGTTTATGGTGATTTGTATAGTCACACTTGCTTCATAAAACTCAAGCCTATAATATCGTATGTACAGATTGCCAATGTGTAAGATTAAAATACAGACTTCTTAAGTTGTGAACACATCTGCAAATGTATTTGGCTGTTTAAAGGAAGCAAAGATATTGTTGCTTAAAGTTTTGGAGATGCCTGCTTTTCAGTGGACCATGCATGCAGTTGTCTGAAGTCACAATCTTCTCAAAGTAGACTGCTCTCCAAAAAAGACTAATCATAAATATTATTATCATTAAAATGGCTTTTCTTTCTCCAGTATAGAGGGACAACAGTTGGACAAGTTTGGGAATTTTGTCAAGGGATTCCCAAAGCAGATGACACAATACATAGAAACTAATAGATTGTATGGTATAAAATATAACATGCCACATTCTTAGTTTGTTTTTCTTGGTAGATCACTTAATTTCTGGCTATTTTACATTTGTCTGCAGAACTACTTGCAGAATTTATAGCACAGCATTGCTAGAGTTGATTGAGAAGTTTAAGTTTTGATCTTTATAATCACTGTTTTCAATAAACAGTCCCCCATTTTATGGATTCCAAAGGCATTTGAGTGGAAATTTTGGACAAAAGTTGAAATTCTATACCTATGACATTTAATGAATGATGACAATGTTCTTTGTGGCTTTTGAAAAATTCCATGCTATCTGGGATCGTTACAGTATCACTCTTTACAGCCACATCTTGTTTTAACCAAATCCTTATCCTCATTGTTGCTGTGTATTGGAATCTTTGTCAACTAATAATAATTCTGTTATTTCAGGTAAAACATTAAAAACAAACCTAGTTGTATCTTTCGACACTCTTTGACAAATCTGGACAGAATGCTCTAGTTATGCTTAGTTACTCCCTCAATAAATCATAGCCTTATTTTATACTGTTATGCAAAGCGAAAAGGGAGAAAGCAGAGCCCTTTTGTAACCCTTTCAGTGCCTCTAGAATAGGACTGCCAGATTCATTATGCTTTCCCCTTAAGACAGAAGGTGGAGGAAAAGCTTTCTTGCCCATTTTGCTCTCCACATAGCATAAACTGATGGATCAGCCCAATTCCCCTTATCTGCAACTCTAGCAGACAAGCTGTAGGTATATTCTGCTTTTCATTAGAGTTACCAAGGCAGTTGCTAGAAGTGTAATACTAGCCATGTATTTTAATATTTTAATGTTAATATTTTATATTTATTTGTTTTTATGTTGTTTTTACCTTATTGGTTTTAATGTTGTTAGTCACCATGAGACCCTTTGAATGAGTGGCAGCCAGTGTTCCCTCTAAGCTGTGGAGTCTTGTGAGCAAAAATTCTGCTTTGTGAGCTACTGGCATTAAAGTTATGAGCAAGTAATTTGGCTACTGCATAAATTAGTTTGCTCTGGAGCCATCTTTCCTGAGCTAAGACAAAAATGTGTGAGCCAGAGGCTAAAAGACTGTGAGCTAGCTCACACTAACTCAGCTTAGAGGGAACACTGGTGGCAACTAAAAAATCTAATAAATAAATTCTAAAATCTAATAAAGAAAAGTGACAGTGGCAGATCTTTGTGCTAAGTAGTATTTGCTGCTAAATCCCTATGTAATGCTACAAGGAGCTGAATATGCCTTTCTGCTCGTGCACTTCTATCCAAACCATATTTTTAGCTCTAATCCCAGTAAGGAATAAAACATCCTTGAAGAAGTGGCTTCAGACAGAAAAACGTGGTCAGAGAAGGGATTCAGTTTCCATCTCCCACCCATACGCACTTCAAATTGCTTTTCCCTGACTCCTTTATAAGGAATTAACAGGATTCATATTGAGTCCTCCTGTCACCATTGTGGCTGTGTTGGAGCAAAGAGTAATGTACCAAGAATTTCCAATGTGTAAGCAACTTTCAATAAATGAAAGCACCACGGGATAATAGCTAAGCCTGGTGGAAGGACTTTTTTCCTCCCAACTTAAGGGCTTGGATCCAGACTAAATTCCACCGGTTGGGAAGCCTGGGGCAAGTGGCATTCTGTCCTCCTTCCCCACCACCCTTGCAGCAGAGTACTTGGCCGAGAGAGTGAGGAAGCCTTGGGCGAGTGGTGTGCTGCCCTCCTCCCGGCCTTCCTCCCTGAACCTCAGCTTGGCTGCTGCCTTGGGCTTCTTGGCCAGTGGTGCCTTGGCATGGGGGGTAGCTGCTTGAGCACGCTGGGCAGGCAGAGCTGTGCAGCGTGGTGGCAGCAGGCCTGGCAAGGCCAGTGGGACAGGCAGGGCAGCAGCCTCTCCAGGGTTGCCTCTCAGGCTGGCACCTTCCCCCCACAGTCACTTCCTGGTGCCTACATCACGTGCCCCCACACAGAATATTTTCAGGCTACGGGGCTGGGCTGGCCATGTGTAGGGCTTATTAGTTCTTGAAACACTTGGCCTAGAGCAAGAGGACATAATTTCTAAAATGAAAGGCACATTGCAGTTACTCAGTGAAGAGGGGAAAACATTCTCCATGCTTGACATTATAGGAGCAGGTCATTGACCTGTTAGAGTTAATCTATATGATAAAGTTCTGTTTAGGAAAGCTATATTTTTCTTTGCTAGATAAATCTGTACTTGAAAATGGAAAAGAAGCCGAACAAGAAGGAAGAGCTGACGCTAGTGAATAATGTTTTAAAACTGGCTACAAAATTACTCAAGGTAAGAATAAAAATGGAGCGCTAGCGTGCATACCTGTACATTGATGTTGCTTAACAAGGCTTAACAAGGCCTTCGTGTTTCTATTTTATTGTGTATCTTAGCTAAATATACTTGTAGTTTCTAGTCTGCCAGTTTAAATTTAATTTTATTAAAGCCTGTCCACCAGAGGTCATTTCGGGGGGGATCACGGGGGATCGCAGTTCCCCCGGGTGAGGTACGGGGGGCGGGGCACATGACGAAGCCCCCCCCCTGCTTCTGGCCACCCCGCTTCTGGCCCTCATTCAGCCAGGAGGAGGCAGGAGAAGAGGGAGGGTAAGTTGCTTCCTCCCTGCCTGGGGCCAGGGAGGGCCTTCGCGGGGCTTCCTTGCACTCCCGCCGGCCTTGCAGGTCCACCGTTGGGCCCCTCATGGGGCTCAGCAGTGGAGCTGCAAGGCCGGCAGCAGCGGCCGGGACTGTTGGGGGCGGGGTGTGTGGCCTTATGACACACTTCCGGTGATGTCAGGGGGTGTGGCATATGCTAATGAGTTATGCTAATGAGTTCCCCTAGCTCTTTTTCTATGAAACGACCCCTGCTGTCCACCCGTTGAGATCACCACTGGAGTCCCTCCCTCAGAAGTGAGGCAGGTGTCAACTAGAGATAGGGCCTTCGCAGCACTGCCCCACCCCAAGCATGCTTCATCTTTGAGATGCCATGTGAATCCTGTCCTGTCTACCCAGACCTTTGATGGTTAGAGTTTTTTTGTTTGTTTTTAATATCCCTGGTACAGTTTTTTTAATGGTTTGGAGTTTTTATTGCTCCTGTTTTAAATTGTTAATTTGATTTTATATTGGGTCTGCTTTTTTCATTGTAATGCAGTTCACGGTGGTTGTATATTTTTATAATCTAAGTGCTGTGTCCCATAGCTCAAGGCGCTTTAACGAATTGACATAAATCTGGTAACAAAATGCTACATCAGCTTTTTCCTGCTTTTTCTTATACTGTTCTTTTCCTCCTTGATGCTTCCAAATGATAGGAAAGAAGTCAGGGCAAGCCACTACCATTAATGCTATGTGAATGTTTCCAAATGTAAACGACAGCCACTCTCTTTTATACACAGTCTTTGGGATACACATCTAAAACTGTGTGCCCAAGGGTGACTTTGTCTTCTATCTATCTTTTAAAGTGTAATGCCTTTTTAAAAAGCCAGGATTGCACATATGGATGTGGAGGAAGTTCTGTCTCACATAGTCAAGTCTGGGATTTGCCTTTATTGTGGTATATTCATCAGATCCAACTGTGGCATATTCATCAGTAAAAGTAATTACTGCCATGGGAGAGGGATATGGAGAAAATCTGGTCAGAAGGAGGACTGTTTGTCTGAACCCAGTGATTTACAAGTTATAACCCTACCTGTATAAATATTTTTTTTCCTCATTGCTAGGAGCTGGACAGTCCCTTCAGGTTATATGGCTTGACAATGAATCCTCTGCTCTATAACATCACTCAAGTTGTCATTCTGTCTGCTGTTTCTGGTGTTATCAGTGATTTACTTGGATTCAACCTAAAGGTACTAACTGTGCACCAGTATTTTTGTTTTCTTAAGTAGTCATGTTAAAGACCACACTAACGTCATTTTAATATTTATTTTATTTTTATTTTATTTTTACATTTGTATCCTTTGTATTACTTCAGGCATATTATTTAGTAAATTAATTTCCTCCAACATAGGCGTAATCTTCGTGGGGGCGGCGGGGCTTCAGCCCCCGCCGAAATTTTCAGGAAGCTGCTCAGCCTCCCCCGGGAGCCACCCTTGCTCCTAGCAAAGCAATGCCTCTGGCCCAGCCCCAGCCCCCCCCGGGAAATTGGAAAGTCTACACCCTTGTCCTCCAATACTAGTAGTTTTCATTTTGAAATATGTTATAAAGAGGCAAGCCTCCCTTGAATTACAAACCTCAGTTATTTGCATTAATGTATTTGCTTGGAACCTGTTCATTTGGTGGCAGTACAGCACCCACTTATTGTCAGTTTGGTACTTCTGGCTTCTACTGTGTATGTTTGCCACTCAGACCTGCACTTCTCAGCCTTACTCAGTGTTAACTTTTAGATGTTAGCATTTAGATGTTGTGAACAAACCTCTGTTGGTTCATGAAAAGCACAAATATGGTTTGTGGATGTGCTTATGCAACACTTGCCTCCTCTCCTCACAAGTTGAGCAGGATTAAAGAGACCCAGATTTCAGAAGCCCTGAATCCAGTTTGCAGTGATGTCTGGATATGGTCACCCAAGCAAAAATTTGGTTTCCCACCCCCCTCAAATCAAGAAAAGACTTTGCACAAGACACAGAGGGGGAGTGAGGGAGGGCATAAGTGCAACTAGAAACCGTGTTTCACCAAGCAGAGGGATGCAGCCCTTGATGCAAGAAATGGGGGGAGAGAGAGAGGTGGATTAGTACTGCTATAGTTCTGACCACTATGGCAAAGTAATTGTGGTTATACAACAATGTTTGTGGTTTTGAGACCCTTTTTGATCTCTGTTTAAAGCTGTTAAAACTTAGTTTGTGTTGGGTTTATTGCTGTGAAATTACCTCTTTGTGCACTATCCTAGCATGGAGGAGGGAGTTCTACCAATAAAATACAAATAGCAAAGCTGCAGTTGGACTTAAGACCTGAACTAATTTTTGTGCTTTCTCAACTTTCAGCTCTGGAAGATTAAATCCTGACATTTTGCAAAAAAAGGAACCAGACACAATCCTCTGCAAAAGAGAACCGATTGACTCAGCTGCCTCAGAGCATTTGCTGATTCTGTGTTCAGATGTCATGCTCTCTTTAAGGATATTGTTTGAAAATTTGAGGTGTTTACATATGACTGTTTTGTGCAATCTCTGTATTTATTTTACCTTTTCAATTTTGTAAACTGTTTTAGCTGACATTGTATTTTATTTTGAAACACTGATGTGCTTTGAAAGGGTCAAAATGGGTATCCAGGTATTGGTCATTCGAAACTGATCAAATGTGCTTCATTTCCCCCCCCTTAGAATGGATCCCGATGTGAGGCTTTTATACTTCTGAAGTTCTCATTACAACAATGTCATGCTGAAGTCATTATACTGAATACATACTATAAAATGTTTAGAACATTTCATTGTGAACCACCCTTTTGGGGTAGTATCAGAGCACCAGCATATTGTTGGTTACAGTAGAAAGTGACATTTACTGTAATAACAATGCAGTAGGCCAGGTAACTGAAATTTATTTATATATGTATGTAAGTATGTGTCCTAGAGCCAGCAGGTGTTGTTACTGATGTGATTCCTGGATTCTAAAATACTGAGCTGAAGTTAAAACTTCACTGAATATTAGTAAGGTATTACGTAGCAGGTCAACAAGTGCTCTTTTATAACATTTTTATTAGAGCAATAACGATAAACTGTTACCATGCTGTAAGATATTTTGATAAAAAATAGCTATAGTATTTATTTGAAACACTGGGCTGTTTGCACAGCTTTGGCTGTGACGCTCAACATCTGCACTTTTATTGTTACTTTTAATAATGATCTTTATATATACTAAATGGAATATATTATGGTGAACTGTGGTGCAATAGTGTTACCTCTGAAGGATGGATATTTAGACTTTGAGAGAGACAGAGACATTATGTATGCTCAAGATAGTTGCTGTACATCGTAGTATATGTGACTTATACCACACATTGAAAATAACAATTATGTGTATGAAATTATAGCTCTTTTTAAAGATTAAATCCTAAACTTGTTCAGGAACAAGTGTGGCTGATATTAATAGAAGGAAACATTCTTGGATTTCCAGATTACAATCCTGTCTGCACTTCAGAGTAACCGTATTTAACTTGGTGGACTTACTTCTCAATAAACACAGGTTCAGACTGCTACATTGTGATCCTAACTTTCTAGTTTAGCCTTGTTGATTTCTATGGATGGGAGAAAATGCTTTCAAGGAATGAGACCCAGTTGTACCCAGATGCCATTTGATACTAATGTTGTTTTAATTTTTTTTAGCAATTATAGGTAATAGTAGCTAGTGCTGTCCTTTCTAATAAGTAACTAATTTTTAGTTATTTAGTTAATTGCTTAGTTTGAACTCTAATAATGCCTGCAGAGAGAGTCACCTTGATGTAGAGATGTGGTGCTGTGATGCATCAAATGCTTACTGTGTACATTCAGAGCATCCTTGTGCACATTTGAGTTGTCTCATTCATTTCAATAGTGTGGTCAGCTTTACATGCAGAAAGATATGTAGACACCAAGCTGCCTTTCCATTGATATGAGTGTGGTTGCCCACATGAACGGTAGCTCTGTGTGCTTTACAGTCCACAGGAGGATCTTGATTAGGGTCACTGCATCTGCATAGACAGATCTGGTTTAGGTATGTTGTGGTATCACTGTTCTGTGAAACAGTATCAGTTTATGTTTAATAAGGTCAAGCTGAAAATCCTTTTACTCTAACTAGTTCGTGCTACCCTGTAAAATCATAAGAGGAAGTTATGATAAAAGGGACAATATTATCATACAGAATATTCTGCATTGGGGAATGTACATTGTGTTTACCAGTCTCCAAATCTATTTTGTGGACTGTAACAGCAGAAAACAGCATGCTGATTAAAAAAAAAAAAAGGTTTAACATCAGACTTTCAGAATTATTGAGAGAAATCCTTAATTCTGTGGTATAACGTATTTTTATATATAAAGCAACATAAACATTTTGTATTTTATTTGTTGTTGTACTAACGTTTAATAATGACCAAAGTGCATTCTATTTTTTCCTCCAAGGAATGTATTACTGGAGCTTTAAGAACATGCTGTGTTTAGTTTATCATGTAAAAATCTTTGGCTCTGTGATCTGTTCTTCTTCTTCTATTGTCTGATGATGGAGTTGTGTTTAGGAATAAAGTATATTTTATATTTTTTTCTGAATACGGTATAGACCTACACAGAACTAAATTTTGCACAGAATATATTTTAAGAAAAAAAGCACAGCAGGAGGTGTGTAATGGTAAAAGAGGAGTCTTCATTTTAAAAAATGTTCAATAGTTTTCAAAACTAAAATATTTTAGTTGCTTGAATGGAGACTAAGTGAAGGTATTGTCAAGGAGGAGCAGAAATTCATTTTGGTGATAAAAGAGAGATTTATCTATACTATACCTCAGCAACTAGAAATATGCTAGATTGTTGCACTAATTATGGCAGAGTGGCAAAATTTATAATGAGGGCTTACAAATAGTAAAGTACCTCATAGTGAGACTGGTATATTGAAATTGTTGCCATTGTGTACAAAAATCATGCAAGTGAAAGGCTGAGTGTCTTACATCCCTTGTTTGGAAAAATAGAAGTTAGAAGAAATGTGGCAGATCTTGTGTGTTAACCATTTTTGACACGTTTGTAACAAAGTGTGATCAGGCTTGGAATAAAACATTCTTTGACTGATGATATAAACCAAGTGTTTCCCTGTGTTTTTACTATAATAGAATTTGCAGCATCTACTACAGACAATAGAATGCTAGAATTCATGCCATTTTGTTCAGTATAGAATGTATGCAGTCCATGTAGTTTAGTTGCCTGGGCAGTACTTTTCCAAAAGGATGTTAAGCTCTTCAGGAAGATACTTTGTGTAGGGCAGGTATCCACTGAGTGGGGGGCAATTGGTACTTGCCCCAAACTTGCCCCAAACCCCAAACCAGCACAAGACTGGCAATAACAGGTCTGGTACACATCTGGTACACAAAGTATTATACCAGCTGAGGTTTTTCTTTTGTAAAACCAGCTGCCTGGTCTGTGCTTTTTACAAAAGGAAAACATTTGCATGACTTTGTGAGCTACTGGCATTAAAGTTGTAAGCAGGGGATTTGGCTACTGCATAAATTAGTTTGCTCTGGATACCTTCTGAGCTAAGACATCCTTCCTGAGCTAAGACCAAAATGTGTGAGCCAGAAGCTAAAAAACTGTGAGCTAACTCACATTAACTCAGCCAGCCACTTGAATTCTTGTCCTCCCTGGCAGGACCATCCTGTTAAGGCCGTTTGCAAGAAGTGCGCTCAATGCGGCAATAAGATCCCCCAGAGCAATGATGTCATGACCCCAGGGGGTCTCCTCCTTCCGCTGCCACCACCCTGGACTTATGGTCCCTGTTGAGAAGGCCCAGGGTACCCTCTCAAGCACATACAAAATGCCCCCTTTTCAGCCAAGAACACACAGGCGTGATTGATCCAGGCAGAGACAATAATTAAACAGAAAGGGTTTATTAAAAACAACAGTGGGGCAGGGAAAACATGACAAGGCAAGGTGCTTAAAAAGGGTATAGCAGTGTGAAAGGAAAAATAAACATAATCTAACGCAGCTACCTGTTCTACTTCCAGGCCCCAGCCTGCCTAGCACTCACGCTGAGCCCAGTGGAGATCTTCCTCTCTCCCAGACCAGCCTGTCCCCACAGTGAGAGCAGGCCGCAGAGAGAGACCTGAAAGAACACCCTGTTTTTCCTCAGTTAACAGCTAAGCCTGACTCTTCTCACACAGTTCAACAGTCTCCTCACAGAATCTCCCTCTCTGATTGGCTATAGCCCGTTGTGAAGCCTTATGGGGACTGATCATTGCCATGCAGGTCTCTCCTGGGACCAGGCCGCACTAGGCCCTGTTCCCAGTCCTGCACAGATCATGACAGATGATCATGACAATTGCCTGATATTCCTGGGTGAGGCACACAGTGTGGCAGCCTGCTAGATATGCCAAACATTCACAGTAAAGGCTCAATTGGACAGAGCCTCCCGCCTCAAGGCGGCACTTTGGGGAAAAGTACTCTCAGCGTCAGCCCCAGCCACGTTGGTTCCAGCTACCGAATGTCCAACCCAGAAAGCCATGACTTTGGCTTCCTCGAACCCTCCGGGGTCAAGGACCTCATCAGTCTGGTCTAAGCTGTCTCTGCCGAAGAGGTCATCCCCTACAACTGTGGGATCCAAGCTAGATCAAACCCGATCCTCTTCTTCTGCAGCCTCTTCCCAGGAGCAGTTGCTTCTCTGGTGGTCCTGGGAGTGGGGCAGTCCTTACTCTTGGGAATAGGCTCCTCCTCTGAAACAGGGTCAGTTTCCTCAGATCAATCTAGGAAGGAGAGGGGCCTGTCCCCTGAGAACATCCCAGTCTTACTGGCCCTGCTGCTTGAGCAGGACATGTTTCACAGGTGCTCTGTAGAGCGCAGCAATCCAGGAATGAGGACCTGGTGTGCGGTGGAACAGAAAAGTTGGGAGCCTCTAGCCCTTGCCAGAATCATGGTAAGCTCTTACGGGGCCAAAAAGCCTAGACTGGAGGCAAAGGAGGGCAGGGTGGTAGACTGGGGAAAACCCCCAAGCTATTCAGGGAGGATGAAGAGGAAAGTGTTTCCTGGGGCTTCCAACCTCCCCAACCTGGAGTGGATTAAAGAGCCCTTCCCCCCCTCCTTTTTCCCCTTCAGAGGAAAAGTTCCCATGGAACAGACGGAGCTAGAAAGCCCAGGGAAGGCCATAAGAGGGCGGGGGAGATGGTGGTGGCCATCTTGGTTCTCTGGAACCTCGTGGCAGACTTACTTTCACTCTCAGACAAGCAAACTGAAAATGGCTGCCAGTCAGACCTGCCAGTTCCCACAGAAAATAGCTGCCAGTCAGACCTGCCAGTTCCCTGTTTCCAGAGCTGAATAGCCCAAGCTAGCTTCATCTGTTGAGATCTCAGAAGCCAAGCAGAGTCAGCCCTGATTAGTACTTGGATGGGAGACCACCAAGGAAGTCCAGGGGCGCGACACTGAGGCAGGCAAGGGCAGAGGCTCTGGCCTGGATGGTCCAGGCTAGCCCAGTTTGATCAGATCTTGGAAGCTAAGCAGGGTCAGAGGGTCAGCCCTGTTTGGCTCTCCAGCTCTAGCTGTCTCTTGCTTTGAAAACCATATGAGGCTGCTGCTTGATAGCACTTCCACCACCTCCACTGTTTGCCAGGGAGAGGCTATAATAGATTTGGGTGGGGGTATACTTAGCAAGTCAGATCCATTCAGACCATAAGCTTCACAGTCCCTGCAAGACTCTATGGAGAACCAGGAAACAGAGGCAGCAAGGATAGCTCAGGATAGCCTGAGCTCATCAAATAAGCACGGTCAGCCCTGGTCAGTATTTGGATGGGAGACCACCAACCAATGTCAGAGGCATGGCATAGAGGCAGGCAAGGCCAACCATCTCTGGACATCTCCTGCTTGAAAAGCCCAAGGGGGTCACCATAAGTGGGCTGTGACTTGATGGCTGCAAAAAGTCCAGGAAGGACTCAGACTCCCCAGTTCCATCCTCAGATAGGGCAGAATGGGAATGGTCAGAGGAAGGAGAGGGGAGTAGTACAGTCCTGGCTATTCCCTCAAGAGCTGTACTTGAGATTCCTCTCCAAGTACTTAGAATTTCCTCCAGACTTAAGGAAAATGAGGATTTTGACCCAGAACGTCCGGTGGAATCTGGTCAGATGCTGCACAAACTGGCAGTACCACAAGCAGTGATGCCAGCCCAGACCTGGATGGCCCAGGCTGGACCACACTTGTCAGATCTCAGAAGATAAGCAGGGTCAGTCCTGGTTAGTACTTGGATGGGAGACAACCAAGGAAATCCAGGGTTGCTAGGCTGAGGCAGGCAATGGCAAGCCTCTAACTGCCCTCAGCCTTTTATAGCTAAAAAACTAACCATCAGATCCCTCCCCCCCAAGCTTTATTCCCGGATACCAGAGGCTACCAAGAGACTCAAGGTGCCAATGGTGGAAGAACCTGGGACCAACTTAACCTCCAGCTCAGTTCTCCCTATGGATGCAGATAGGTTGCCCAAGACCCAGCGATAGGGTATTTCAGCAAGCCTTATGCAAAGACTTCGAAGTCTCAGCCTGCTCCATCAGGATGTCAACAGCAGGCTTGGTGTTTGCCAGGGTGGTACATTCTTGGGCATTGAGACTAGCCTCAGCTGATAGTGGAGTCCCACAAGAACTTAAAGACAAACTTAAGAAGATTGCCGTAGCAACAGTGATTGTGGCAGGTACTTCACTAGACATCCTGGGGTAGTTAGCTAGAGCCATGGCATGCAGTGTAGCAGCCAGAAGGAACATGTGGCTCAGAATTGGGATGGGGACTCCGCAGCACAAGCTAAAGCAGTTCCCTTCAAGGGCAAAAACCTTTTTGGGGAGGGACTTG